GAACTTTTTTCAGAGGAGCAGAGTTTTTTCAGTCATCAATTTTACGGAACGCCCTTCATTTGGATCAACATTTACTTCCTTTATTATTCAGACTACATATCCAAAACCATTCAAAGATACAACAAAAGCAGACATAAGCAGAAACCACAAAATGGTCAGAAACTTTTATATGCTCTGAAAATGCAAAAGCAAGAATGGCTATAAGAGCTTTGCATCTACACTAAAAGAGGTACTCTTGAATCAAGACCATCTCTATTGAATTAAAGATCATATTTGTATGTTTATAAATCTATATTTCTCTGAACTGAAATCTATTCATGATTGTCAAAATTCTATTTGAAGCAAGCACGATGCCATGATTGTACACAACCACCCGCCATATTGGGCAAACATTTATTAAATAATTATGTTTCAGTTCGAAATTACAGATATAAAGTGATAAACATTAGTGCAATTGTGTCTAAATATAGGATTTGTGGAAGATTTAACGCAGATAAGTTCAGTTTTCCGTCTTAAAAATCTAGACATACTTTTGATCATTGTCAAAATATGAATCAAATATGAAGCCCGTCGAAATTGGGTAACTAATTTGCACGATAATCACAATAAAATTTGCTGCGCAAGTAATTCAATAGCCCTATATCAAAGTGTAGAAGTTTATCATATACCTGTGTATGAAATTCACAATGGCCGATATGTAAGTAAACAAGATGACTGTAATGTGTTAGTTATATATTCTTCACTTCGTCTATACAATACATAGGAAATAGTTTGGTTGCAATAAAGTAGAATCACGTAAGAGAATAGTTGTATAGTTGACAAAACTGAATCTTGCACTGACGCAAATGTCCTATAGCGGCTGCAAGAGGCTTACACTTTTGTTTAACTGTTACCTGCAGCCCTTATACAACCTCTTAAATGACTGAAGTGTCCTATTAGGTGTGCCCATTCCGCTTGTATAGCTGTTCTAATGCTCTTACAGTATACAATGCTGTTTAAGGAATAATGTATAATCATTCTTGCAACTCTAATAGGAGTGATAATTGTTAGTTGGGTATTGATAGGTACTGCAAGGTATCTCGGTCATTCCTCTGCCTAGGGCAGCATTTCCGGTGAATTATATTACTTGCAATACCTAATAAGTTTGTAATAACAATATATTATACAGTGTGATCTTACCATACTACAGGTTTTAATGCAGGTAGCACTTCAACTCGTATTATATAATCTAAAAGTAAATTAGACCTGTTATCGCTGCAGCATTTTTCGACCACTCATTGAAGGGAAAAGCTCAAAAGCCGCTTTCTGTAGCAGCCATTATTTCCAATTGCTATAGAAATCGTATAATACGTACGAGACCGTTAACAAGGTTCCTAAGACTGAATGGAATGCGTCCATGAAGAAAATATGTTTTGTCAGAACCAATAGAGGAAGCTGTTCAGAACTTGTCTTTCAAGCAATTTAAAACAAACCGTATTCTCTCTTGTAAGGAAGACAATTAACGTCGCATGTCCCTTTTACTCTGGCGAGGAAGTATTGTAATAGCGAAAAATTTCGTTGTTACATGACATAGATCACGAAATACCATCTCACGCATTTCTGTCAGTTTGTCTGGCGTGAGGAGTATAGAGTCAATCTACTTGACCCATTTTTTTAAATCTGCATTTCTGTCAAGAGCATTACCGGATTTATACCTATTGTTTGTTTCAATTGCTTACAATGTATTTTCTTATTACTTGGAGCGTTATTTTTATTGATGAATATCACATAGCCATATCTATAAGCACGCAAGGTCTGCAAATGCATAATTGTTGTCATACTCGAATATCATAGATTTGTAAGGCCACGTTTGCAGGGCGCTGAGGTTAAAGAAAAATTTGAATTCCAAACTGATAGTTCTCCTTTGGTGCAAAACTAAATCGTGTAATCTCCTCCGTAGGGACCTAAAAATTAATCAGATAGGTATCATCAACTTCCGGGTATTGCGAAGAATTTCTATTTCATAAATTTATGAATCCTACTCTTCGCGTGTGATTTTTACAACTTCATAGAAACATATTCGTAAAATCAAAAGTTGACACCTAGCTTATCAACTTTTAAGGCCCCACGCGTGAGAGCGTAATTTGGCATCAAAGGAGAATTGAAGCGTTCGGGCGAATAACGGTCTATGTAACAAGTTGGCATTTTCGAGAAAAGGTGAGGTTTAACATCTGTTGCATTTCTTGAAATTTCATGGGTGAAAATGTTACATAGACCGTTATTCCACAAATAGAAGTTTTTTGAAATAATTGTTGTTCCAACTTGAAAATTATTTTCACACTCGCCATATTGGCATACTCGCCCCATCTATTGGTATATCAACAAACTATTATTTAGTGGAATCTACACACTTCATAGACCGTTATTCACACCAAAACTCGATTTTTGATAATTTGTAAAATAGACCGTTATTCGTCCGAACGCTTCAATTATCAGTTTGAAATTTCCCAACCTCAATATCCTGCAATCCTGCCTTAATAAACATTTTAAGCATGCAGGCTTATTTCTACTGTAACAGTTTATCTTGTGATGTCTCAGAAAATCATCCAACCTTATAACATATATAAGTTCGACTGAGTCTTATTAAGGTTTTAAGTTTGAAAGTACAACGTACAAACTTGTTTGTGTATCTGGTTTTGGTGAGAAGTGAAACGTGTTTGTATTTTATCGGTTTTAAGATTTGATCCATAAGAACTGAGAGAGGCGTTATATAGGATGTTTTTGAACATAGTAACATAGCTGAAATATAGTTTGAAGTACCTATTTTCACCGTCATATTATGCACCACAGATTGAACAGGTGCGTACCTAGAAATTTTTTCCGAAGGGATCTATTTAAAAAGGGCAAATGAGAGGTTTGTCGGTTATTTGGTTCACTTTTGTGAGCTTCAACTTTCAAGATTTCAGCTACGCGCCTGTTCGACAGTTTTATGGATAATTTTGTTTGAATCTTTACCTGGAGTGATTCTTTTCAGCACATATTTTGTGAGTACTTTTCAGGATTTCACTTGAACAAAATACTCATTCTCATTCAAAATCATCGTAGCACTAGCTTCTGAGCTCCTGTTTTCCAATTAAAGAATATTTAATATACCTCAACTGAGAAGAAGTAACTTACTTGTGCGCATAGTGTGCGAAAACCAGAAGTTCGTCAACTCTGGCCTAACAGACAAGGTAAAACATCGTTTTAAAATAAAATGATTTCAAAATACCCATCAAGGATTTGTAAAGCAAGGCTTAGATACTTGGCAACCTCAAAATTATAATTTTTAGGATTTTTCAGACATTAGGTCGCTTATAACTCGAAAATGGCCAGCTTTAGAGAAATGTTACTGGAAGCCTTTTTTGTTCGTAATGATCCAAAAAAGCTAAAAAAAAGTAATTTATTTAAAAAATTGTTTGAACAGAATTGATCTGGCTTACCCGGTGGGTATATCCAATGTTTAGAAATTTTGTTAAAAATTATAGTTTTTCAGGTCGCCAAGTATCTACGTTGAAAGTTAAAACCTTACTCTACCAGACCCTGAAGAGTATTTTGAGATCAGTTTGTCTGAAGTGATTTCATCCTTGTTCTTCAGGCCAAAATTAGTGAAATTTTGGTTTTCGCAGACTGTATATCGATTGATTCAACAATCAGCTCCAGCTGTTGTTAAAACCCCAGTTGCGCCGAGGCAAAAACCGTGGTATTATAGAGGATGTTCGGAAGATCGATGCAAACCATTTAAGGGCTGACAGTACACTCTATTCCGAACAGATTCAGCCTCTTGTACGAACTTCCATCCTATGGCCCTCCAGAGAAGCTTTACAGATGGGGGTTGACGTTCCATCTGGCCACAAGATATCAGTCGTAATTGACGGGTTCTCTTCATCCCACAACGTTAACGCGGGTGTCCTCAGGGATCGGGATCGGACGTTGTTCTTTTTAGATATCCAGGACCTCCTCACCTGTACGTTGAATGCAGGAATTCAGAATGACAAGCCGATCTCCGCTGGTGAGCTAGAGAAAAGACGACCAGCAGCAACTTCCTCTCTGAGAGTCCTAGAGTACTGTAAATTCACTACCAAGAAGCGTCCTAGCGCTTATTCGGTTTCATTGGATGGCGGAGTTCTATCAAAGAGCCGTCCATTTTGGCTGGCCGGGGTCCAGATCACCGAGGTCCTGATCTGGCATGAGCACATTTCGTCAAAAGCGACAGCTGCCGAGAAAAAGCTAGGCTATTTGCTCTGTACAAGGCCAAGATAAGAACTAGTCTCGAGCACTGCTCACTGCTCTACTTGTTTTAATATTTTGTGACATTGAGAG